TTGATGCACTTTTCCAGTTGTTTTTAAATAATCTTCAGCAGGATTTTTCTTGTATTATCTGTGATATTGTTTGATAATTTCCACATCCTGTCGGCCACCTTTTTTTTTGGGGGGGGCGGGCAGGTGGATGAGAACAAATGTGGATTTCTTCCAGTCAGTTAGCCAAGTAGTTGTCCTCCAGATTTCTTGATACAACTTGGTAAGTCCAGGGCAGCATCTATCTGTTAAAATATGTGAATTGGTATTCCTTCATTTCCTGGCACCTTGTTCTTTGACACCTCCTTCAGTGCATCTTGAACTTCATTACCATTGCCTCTTGATCATTGCTGTTTTATGAAATTCTTCTGTGTTAGCCATTTCTTTTCGGAACACTGACTCCATGTACTGACAGTGTGTGGTCTGCTCTTTTTTTTTTCTAGTACACTCATACCAGCACACTGTGGTAGGTAAGATTTCACTCGTTTAAAAGCAAAAGTAAAAAAAAAAAATAAAAGACTATGTACTGCCTTCAAGTCTTTGTTGGAAAAAGAATCTGCTAAGTAATAAACCTGGCTTTAAAATGAAGTGCTTACTTACAATAGTCTTAAATAGTCTTACTTAGAATTGTCTTAAATATGGGAAATGTGAAAAATTCAGTGTGAGAACAATTGAAATGGAATGTGGAGACATGAGACGTTATGAGAAATAAAAATGTGGCCTGCACATCATTAATTACAAATAGACCACCAGCAGTTCTCCTTGTTGGAAAACCAGCTAGAAATGCACTGTGAAAATGATAGCTGAAGAGTAGAAATGTCATTGTCCTTTCTTGTTCCTCTGATTGATGTTCACAATGACAGTCATACTTTGTCTTACTTAGCTTTTCTCATTTATCTCTTTCCAGTGACTGCTGGAGTGTCCGCTGTGGAGGTGTATACACCAGAAGAAATCTTCGTCGTAAATGGGACTCAGGGGAAGCTGACCTGCAAGTTTAAGTCCTCTAACGTGACCAGCAGCTTGACCTCAGTCACCTGGAGCTTCCAGCCAGAGGGGGCCAACACTGCTGTGTCGGTAAGAACACATGACTGCTCCATTCTTCTGAGTGTTCATTTGAAAAATGCTTGTGTTTGTTATCCGGCATAGACTTGACAGCCTTTTTCATGCTTGAGACTCATCTCTGATAATTTCCTCATCACTGTACCTCATTCTCCTCTTACTGTTCTGCCAATTCCTCCCCACCGTCAAAGCTCATTTTGAAATTTATCTCTTTTCCACAAAGCAGCCTCTGTTTTGACTTTTCAAGATGTATCCTGACTCCTTTCTGCTTTTAAATGCCCTGTTTTCCTTGTCCTTTGTATTTGTTTGAGTATTTCTGGTTTCTGTGTAAGTAGCTGGTGCTCAGTGGTTAAAGCAGTCAACTGCTAACTGAAAAGGCCAGCAATTTGGACCCACCAACAAACTGTGTGGGAGGACAAACCTGGTGGTCTGCTCCTGTGAAGTGGGTGTGTATGTGTATACACATTGACTGCGAAGAGAACAAACTAATAATGTCTTGGAGAGGGTGCAGCCATAGTGCTCCTTGAAGGCAAAGATGATAGTTTCGCCTCACATACATTGAACATGTTGCTAGGAGAGGCTAGTCCTTGGAGAGGGACATCATACTTGGAAAGGCAGAGGGTAGGCGAAGGGGAGGAAGACCCTTATGCCAGCTGACATACTGAGTGCTTCAGTGAGCTACAGTGTGTCTGGAAGTGTGAGAATGGCACAGGACAGGACAGGACAGGGCTCAGATCTTTTATTCATAGGGTTGTTATGGGTTGTACTCAATGGCATCTAACAATAACAACCTATATGTATATATGTTACCTAAGGATTTAACTGTGAGCTTCTTGATTAGCTTAAAAGTCCGTCTGATTCAGAAATTTTTATTGTATGCTCTTTTAAAGAGTGGGTATGTACTCTTCAAAAAGGTGTAAAATATAGTGTCTGCTCTCAATTGGGAGAAATTAGGAGCAAAATTAGCGTACAGCTGGTGTACTTCAGAATAGTCAGTGCGAGCCGGGAAACAGAAATGCAGTGCTGAGGGTTGGCAGGATGGTGGAAAAACTTAATGGGGAGCTGGGAAGGTCCCCCGCACCCCAGCGGCTAATCTCTGCTAACTTCACAAACGTGAAGAATTCCTGTCAAGAACAGCAGCAGTCTAGAGCCAGCTTCTCTGAGGTCAGACATGGTCACTTTCTCTGCTCCAAAGCTTTCTACTAATTTTGACAGGAGCTATCCCTTCTACAGCACTGCTTCTCTGCTGGATTAAATAATCTGATACAATGGCCATAGAACTCTTGGACAATACTCACAGTGATGGAATTTGTTAGGGAAGTAAGTTGTTGTTTAGTGTCAAGTTGGAACCAACCCATAGCTGACCCACCAGCAGGTTTTCAGAGGCAGCTAATTACACACAGAGCAGCTTGTGTATTCGAACAGTGTACCTTTGCATTCACACTGCAGTTCCTTACCACTAAGCCACCAGAGTCCTTAGGGAAGAAAGATGAAGTTACGTACAGTTCAGGATCAGGACAACTCAGGATACAGTCCTTGAATTGATAGCTTCTCTGCTGTGTAGGAAGACTGGCCTCTGTCTCTCTCTGGCTTTTAGCATTTCTGCTCTCAGCAAGGCCTCTGCCCTGCTCAGAAAAGTGTTATAACGTTCTCTCAGCCTTGCTGTTTCAGGCGCCAGAGAGGCACCCTATTCTGCTGGTAACTTATGACCGATTGCCCGCAGGTCTAACTCTGAAGGTACCCACTGTCTAAACAAGCTTCTTGCTCCAAAGACACTGCAAACCAAGAGGCGGATAGTTCAGATTCACTAACAGTTCTGTGGACAAGAGATGGGGCAGTCTTCTCCTATGTGATTTACAGTGTCTGAAAGCCCGCTGGAAGGTCAGCTTTGAGTTGGTCTGGCAAGGAAATGGAGATTCTTTTTAGCTTATTTCTGATAACATGCTTTCCTTACTTACAGTTGTGTGTATAGCTAATCAGTTGGTATTTATTTGCTGGCCTGATTACACTTAGCTCTAGAATGCTTTTTATCAATTAAAAAAACCCCAAACCCTTCAAACTTTTAATTTCCAAACATCAGTTCACATTTAATAAGCTGAAAAGCAGAGTGGTTTTGATTTTAGAAATTTTCCACAGAAAGTGTCATCAAGTGTAGTATACCACATCAGACTTTTCCAAGTTCTTGGAATTCAGATCCACATGTCCACGACTGAGCTTATCTTTTTTCCTTTGCTTTTATTTCCCTTTGGTGCCTGGACTGGTGAAGTACCAGGCAGACAAAAATCTCTGCTTGAAGGGTGGTTGTGAGCAGCAGACAGCATGGTTGGGAGACAGTTCTCTATGGACCTCTCAGGCTTCTACATATCTTATAAGCAAAACTAACCACTGACTGCCTTTGTTCTGGACTTTGTAAAGTGACTGGCTTGGAAATAAAAAGTGTTTCCCTGTGAAAAAAGAATTTATACGAACTTTGTAAGTAAACCAGTATGAAATAAAATTTTTATTTTAAATTAAAAAAAAACCACCAAAAAACCCACCAGACGTTGTTTCCCTCTGGGGCAAAAATCAGGAAGGATTATCGCCTGGTTTAAAAAAAAAAAAA